CACCCAGTCTCGAACTTTCTTTTATAATTTATTGATGGGAAATGTAAGTACATTGCCCGACCTGGGTTTTTTTAAATTCCAAAGTCCATGGCTCGATGTTTAATCTCTTTAATGCATTTGTTACTTATTATGCTCGATCATTTAATACAAATCGACCTCGAGCAAGTGTCAAGTTTTTAATCTTAACAAGTGAACTTCGAGTTTTTATAGCTAGGAAGAGCACATGTTAGCTCGAGCTATTGACGTCGAGGCTCAATATTCTTGAGCTTCAATTGTTAAACCTCGCGCATGCTACTTGGCTATTAATTTTGGCAAGTAGCTCGAGCTTTTGTAAAATCTGCAATATTTAATACATAGAGCTCAACCATGCAATTTGGCCATTATTTTGGGCAAGTAGCTCGAGCTTTTGTGCGATTTGTAATAATATGTATAGGTCGATCATGTTACTTTGTCGTTATTTTTGACAAGCGGCTCGAGCTTTTATAAAAGTTATAATATGTTATAGATAGAGCTCGAGCATGTTACTTTGCCATTATTTTTATCAAGCAGCTCGAGCTTTTAAAAAAGCTGCAATAATTTTAAGCTTTGATAGATGGGGCTCGAGCTTTAACATGGTATACTTCTATGTTGTGAGATATGAAGATCGGGCCATAGGTTCAAGAATGGCTACTTGTCTGAGCACGGCCTTATGTCAAATAGATGTATTAGCTGCATGCACAGGGCACGACCTTACGCTAAATGGATGTATTAGCTGCATGCACAGGGCACGACCTTAAGCTAAAAAGATGTATTAGCTGCATACATAGGACACGACCTTACGCTAAAAAGATGTATTAGCTGCATACACAGGGCACGACCTTACACTAAATAGATGTATTTGTGCAAATTTTTACTGTCGAACAACCAATGTGGTAATTAGAAAGTTACTATTTTACCCTTTATAAAAATACTAAAAATATTGTCAAACTTTCTAATTACCACATTTCAATTAAATTTAAAAAATAAAAAAAAAGAAAAGAAAAGAAAAGAAATACGTTTCTTCATTTTTTTTATTTTTGTACAAGTTTCAATTTATTTTTTTTATTTGTGTAAATTAGGCCCAAACCGGCCCAATCTGTTGTTCTCTTTCAACTAAGATAAAAATGACAGAAGCATGTTAAGATGAACACGGCAAACTTGTCTAATTACAAGCAAAGAAACATTAATAAAATAAATAAGGAGAGGTCATATGTATACGATTGGAAAAAAAAGGTCATTTCGCTGTTTACTATTGTGTTAAATATTAATATGCCTTGTACTTTTTCCACAATTGTTTTTAATACTGATATGTCACTTACTTTTCCCTTGGAAAAAAAAATGTCATTTTACTATACACTTTTCCTACTTAGTGTATACCTAAATTTTAGCCCCGTGTTTAGCAAGAATTAAAATCTATATTTCACTTTAAATCAAAATCAGTAATTATTTTTAATCATATATTTCATGGGACTCACAACTTTTTTACTACGCTTTTAATTTAAGTCAAAATAAACAATTAATTTTAATCACATATTTTATGAGATTCACAACTTTTCAATCATATTATGGAATTCAATAAAATTTAACAGATTTCATAATAGATTTAACACATTTGACAGGGGTGTCCTCAACTCTAATTTTAATAGATTTCTTAATATTTATAAATTTTCGTGGATTTTATGGAATTCAATAAATTTTTACAGATTTCATAAGATTTGAATGAATTTCTATTTTGTAGATTTCAATAGATTTTCATGGATTTTATAGATTTTCATGGATTTGTAGACTTCTCTATTAAAATTAAAATTCCACCATACTATTTCAAGTGTATTTTTCTTTGTGAACCAAATTATGTCGGGACGAGCAATTTTATGCATATTATGTCGAAATATGCAAATTCTAATGGTTAATCAAGTCCATCTACACTAGATCTAAATTGCTTTTGAAATGTCACTTCTGTCCCATCTCCCGCATAAACAACTTTATTCGTAAGATGATGAGAAATTAGATACTAAAAGGCCAAGTTATCTGATACTGAAAAAACCAAATTATTGTTTATTAAAACAAACTCATAAGTTGTCATCTAAAAGCAAAAAAATCGTAAACTTGTCTAAACAAAATTCAAATTTCATTACTCTTCATTCACAACATCTGCCCACATATTTGAAGCTATATTTGTTCTTCATTCATTTGCATGCTCTCTTTGTTAGGGTTTGACAAAATTCTCGAATCGAATCGGATCGAATTGAATCGAATCTAGCGGTTCTTCATAAGTTAAATACCCGAACGGGTATTTGAATCGAGAACCAATGAGTTTGGTTCGATTCTCAATTCTAGACCCAGAACCGAAGAATCGAATTTAAATAATTTTTTTTAACTTTTTATATTGAATTAATTATTTTTTAATTTTTTTCTAAAAAAATTAACTAATTTAGTGATTAATGTTCTAACTCCCAAACCAAATCCATGCCTAGCCAGCCCAACCCAATTTCTAAATTCAATTTTTTGGTCCTATTATTAATTTCATTCTTTGTCCAAGATCTAGTCATTTTTAAATTTTTATCATTCTCTTTCCAATTTCACACTTTCATTCGGTAACCACCGAATCAATGATCCCAAATCATTTGATAAATTGAAAACCTACATCTACATGCTCAAATCGAAATTGTCGACTGCCGAGTCCGACTTATCCTCTCCAATGCCCATCGAAGCCGCGACCTCTAACCACGACCACCGATCGTTGACCATTAGAAATCTATTAAAAAATTTAATTATGGTATGGAAATGAACATAACCGAACCGAACCGAACCGAATGGAACCGAACCCGAATGGTTCCATAATTATATTTAGGCCTGACGGTTCCATTTATTAAATACCCGGAAATTTTGGAGAACCGAACCGAATTATGTCCATCCCTACTCTTTGTTGCTCTTGAGTTTAATATTTTCATCCTCTTCAATTACTGGTAATAATGATGTAGACGAATCTTCACTATTTGATTCAACAGGAAATTCATCATAACGACACTCTCTGCGAAGAAAATTATGCAATCTTGCACATGCTAACACCATCTCTGCTTGTGTTTTAAATGGAAATGGAGGTGCTGATTTAAAAATCGTGAATCGCGAAGTGAAAATATCAAATATTCTCTCAATTACATTTCTCAAACTAGCATGACGAAGATTGAATAGTTCATTAGCATTTTCTGTATTACGGCCCTGGCCACAAAAATCCTGGAGATGATACCAGACACCTCGAAATGGAGCTAAGAATTGACGATGATTGTGAAATCCACAATCCAGGAGAAAATATTTACCTAAGTATACAATTCATGCATAAATCATCTCATGTCATGAAAAGGATAACTTAAAACCAATTGAAGAAAAAAAATGATTACCTCTTGGTACTTTAGGTCCATTTCTTCTTACTAACGCATCATTTAATAGTTTGGAATCATGAACCGAACCTTCTAATCCACTAAGGATATAAATGAATTCCAAATCAAAATTGCAAGCCGCCAATACATTTTGTGATATTGTTCCATTGCAATTACGATAGTTGTTCATGTCACGCCCTGATATCATTGCTGGTATGTGTGCGCCATCAATCGCTCCAATACAATCCTAAAATAGACATAATATTTTAATAATTTATTTTATTGTTATAATAATAAAATTTATGAATAATATATTATAATTTACCTTAAAATAAGGATAAAATCTTGTACTTTCTCTTATTTTGCTTGGCATTGTATATCCAGGCTTGACCATCATATCAGGTGCAATTGTGTTCAAAGCCTTTAAAATTTTGTTGACATTTCTGCTAGATGTGGAATGTGCTCGACCAAAGGTCTTTCGGGTGAGACAATATTGAGAGTTCTGACCAACTGTAAGTAAGAATGTTACAAGAATTTCTTCAACACATATACATCGTGTATCCCGCATAGGCGTTTTTTCTCTTATGATATTGCAAAGCTTTAAAAACACATTTGGATACATCCTATATATCTGTCTAAAGATTTCAGGATCTTCTTTCAATACTTTATGAATATAATCATATCCAAATGTAGTGATTGATCGCCGAAGTGGACGTTCTATGTATTCACCATACACGATAATCATCAACTCATTTAATACTTGAAGTATTGCTTGAAGGGCCATTAAAACAAACTTGATAGTTTCATCAAATTCTTCCTCAGTTTCTTGTCCTGTACTTTCTTCCATTTCTTCTTCCATCTAGAAATACATAGTTTCTTGCAATTTAGAAATTCATACTACAAAAATATATACATACATAACTGATCATAATAAAAAAAAATAAAAATTTTAATTCACATTTAACATCAACTATGTTATTAGCATATACCAAACCTGTTCGGAGTGAAAATAAAATTTAACAAAATTACTCAAATGAAAGTTTAAGCAAAGTTACCAACCCAATCAAAGTTTCAACAAAGTACTCAAAAACCACATTATCCTAATAAATTCACAACATTAAACATTGACTCAAAGAAAAACTTATTCCACATTATATTTTATCCATTCCCAACGCTCTTCATGTGACATTTTCAAAAAGGCATCTTTCATTCCAAACTTATGAATGAAAACGGGTGCTTTGTAGCGAGTGCAATTATCCAAATTAGGGGTCTCTTTAATAGCATCCCATATATTGTTCTTGTGCTCCATTTCCTTTTCCTCTCTATCTCTTTCCCTTCTCTCCAGCAACTTAAATATTTCTCTCCAGCAATATGCCAGTAATAGAATTCATGCCATGAGAAATCTTTCCTTGAACATCAGCTCAGGTCATGGTATCAAATGAGCTAGAATTCTCATGTTGAGTTCTAGTTCGCTTTCTATGGCCATCATTTTCTGTAGGAAATTCCTTGTTAGTTTCCATAGTAGGTGGGAAAGACATATAATTAGTAGATGATGGAGCATTGGTTGACTCATCCTGTTGAGTTTGTATGTATGCCTCTTGACTCTCATCGAACACAGTCATCTATTGTAACATGCTTGGTTTCTACGACACCATATATTCTTGCATCTGATTCATTGCCCAAACTAATTGAGTTTCTCCCTGTAGCAGTAGCATTGCCAATTGCTATTCTTAAGTCTTCATAGTCAGGAAAGGTGTCGGTACGAAGGTGCCTCTGTTTTGGATGGGACCGTCAAAGAACAAATATAGAAAAAATGATAAGTCATCCTTTATTGTTAAAGAATTATAACTTAATCCAAAAAAATTATATGAACACTCACCTTGAAGTAATTATCCCACACTTCATCACTAGCGGTGAACTTTTTTGTGATTGAATCCCATCCAAAACTAGAGTTGTATCGCATAAGCTCAGAGTATTTGTGATATTGTTGCTTAAACCAACTCAATCGACTTTGGTACATAGCATAGTTCTTTTGGCATCCAAGTTTTTCATTTAGCTGTTTGTTTACCTAGCACCCCATTGCTATTACACCATCCACGATTGGCGGCATCAACCATAAGTTCTAACAATGTAGTGCTTTCTTTCACGCTCCATGCATTATACCCGATTCTACGTTTTCCTTGTGACTCTTCCATTTATGATCTCACTACATAGTCCGTTACATAATATCCACTTAATAATTAACCACATTACTAAACTCATTCTTACACGTATACAGTTAATAATATAAAAAAACCAAATGATCAAATATTGTTCAATTGTTTGTTAAACATTTGAATAATATAATATACAAAAATATATATTCAACTTCACCAACTAAGGAGGTAAAAAACTCATAGTTAACGGAGAGCGATTTTCATAGTTAAAAATTGATCTGCAAAATGCAGTAATTGATATTTATGGATAGTAGGGTAGTTGAATGCTTTCATTAATGCCCCCCATGATTTTTCCATTAGAGGAACCGGGTTATCATTGTTACAAGAAATTATTTCTGTTAATGTTAGAATTATGAATTTCTTGAATGAACTTGACACGATTGAAAAATATAAAAATCATAATTCTAACATTTCTTGAATGAACTTACACTACCTAATTAATCACACCCAATATTCAACAAAAAAAAATAGTGTAAAACATCCAAAAATCATCATCAATTGATAAATTATCATACATATACAGATAAAGGAGAGAGAGAGAGAGAGAGAGAGAGAGGCTTAAAACTTGTCACGGCAAAGAGACAGAGAGGCGAAAAAATTGCTGCAGAGAATGGCATGAGAATCTGTGAAATTTTGAGGGTTAGATATAGAATTGTTACAGATTTTGGTATTTATATTTATGGCTTGAAATCTTTTAAAATCTATTAAAATCCATCAAATTATTGAAATCCTTCTAAATCAAGTGGCTATTGAGGAAACCTAAATTTCTCAAGAATCTATTGAAATCTAAGTTGAGAACACCTAAATTTTTAAGTATTTATAAAAATCTAAACAGAGGACACCTAAATTTTGGTAAATTATATTTTAATCTGAGTTGAGGACACCTCAATTTATATAAAGTTTTAAAATTCATTAAACTCTCGTTTGAGGACAACCTCCTTAACTCTTTCCGTGTTGCATCACAAATCCAGTGCACTACTAAGCATAAATGAAAAGGATAAATCTTGACATAAAGAGGCAAACTGAAAGTTCCATGTATTTATTGATAAATTAATTTATATAATTTAATCAAACTGTAATTTGATTACAGTTTGATTACAGTTTGTGTAATTTGATGAATATTATTAGAACTCAAGGGGTGAACTTGATATCCTTTGTGGACACTGTTTGCCGTCTTTCTCCAAACAAGACAGGAACAAGATCAGCAGTGGGACCCTTCTGCTCACCTTTACTTAACTATATGGAAGTATCTTTCATACAACGATATGTCACCTACAAATCAATTAGCATTTTTATTTCTTGTGTTCTTTTATTGATTCGAGTCTAATTGATATTTTTAATTATCTTATGCTGAATTTATATTTCATTAGGAGTTAAAATCATAGGCCTATACTATCTACTCTGTTTCGACGTTTCCCCGTCCAATGAAAATCGAGATATCGTGATCTCGCCTCGATATAAATGTGATTTTTTTTAAAGAGAGTGATTTTCATTTGTTAATAATGCTACATATACATCAAGTTTGACCGCTTCTTTGACATCATATGAGGTAGCAGGTTTTTATACATTGATTTTAATAATATTTTTTTAATCAATGACCAGAATTTCTACGTATAAGTGGACCGTGAAGATAGTGTACAAGAGGCATAATTGTTCATTTTTCTAGTGAAATTTATATTGACATGTGGCCAAGGGAATTGTTATTGGACGGCACATATAAATGAAATGTGCCTTCTTACTATTGGATGAAAGGAATGGCCGATCAAAGGAATGTCAACACCGTCTAATTAATTCCCTCATTTATTTTAGGGAATTTATTTTATATAAGTTTTACAGTTCCCCTTATGTAAATTCTAATTTCATTTTAATATTTATTAATTTCAAGTCGATTAAAAAAATTTATAAGCTAAGAATGAAAATTAAATGGTGTCTATCTAATTTTAATACAATCACGTTTAGATTTTATATTTTTAAACTAATATCGCTCCATCGATGTTCCTTTTTGTATTTTTATATTATGAAAAACAAAAAACGCAAACAATCTTTAAAACTTATTTTTACTACTCCCAAAAAATATTTTTTATTTTGCTCTATCTTTTTTTTTTTTTTCAAATTATTATATTATTTTCCTCCTTTGAAAATTAAAATATTTTAAATGCATTTAATTATAGAAAGTATGTTTGGCTCTCCAAATTTGGAGAGTCAAATTCACTCTCTAAATTAAAATATTAATTTAAAGAGTCTTTTATATATACATTATAATAAAAATCTTAGCAACGTAATGAAATTTGGAAGAAAGCAAGCACACAATTAATTCTCATAATTGACAAGAAAATTTAATATGAAATCTAGAAGGAATAATACTATGTGATATTATCGAACGTATTTAATAATTAAGTATTGCACTACAATATTAGTATGTATTTTATTTTTTTATGGATTCATCTGATATCAAATTTTCTACTAAGGAAGTTCGTTTGATATCAAAAATATTTTTCTCCATCCTTCACCAGTTCCAAACGAATTAGTAAAAACATTGGAAAGAAAGTGTGTGATTATTATATTAATACGTAGCAACATACTCAAAAACGATCATATTAATATTAAAAACAATGGAAAGAAATTATACCAAAACCAACGGTGAAATCGATCCAACATTTGCCGTTTATTTTTTTTTAAAATTTTGTTACAGCCCCATGCATGAGGTCTAGATTCAAAAATAATAAAGTAAAATAGATAGGATGAAGATTGATCAAATTAAGAAATAAACAAGAACTCACGTTATTTATATAATACCAAAGCACAACCTTTATTAATAACCATAAAAAGAAGGTAAATAAACCCCCATACAACGATTAATACATGGTGACAAACAACTTAGACTAGCAGCTTCCTTTTCTTTGTCCACCAACCTTCGTAGCAGACTAGCAGCTTCCTTTTCTTTGTCCATATAGCGTCCATATAGCAGACTAGCAGCGTCCTTTTTAGTAAAATTTTAGTCAAGTTATTTTAGTCATGCAAAATTTTAGTAAAATTTTAGTCCAGGTATTTTAGTAATGCAAAATTTTAGTAAAATTTTAGTCAAGGTATTTTAGTAATGCAAAATTTTACTAAAATTTTAGTCAAGGTATTTTGCCTTCGTAGCAGACTAGCAGCTTCCTTTTCTTTGTTCATTTGGTTGTATAAAAGCAGACGTCCATTAAGTCTGTATTCATCTCAGACACACAAGATGACTTCAACACCACCAACACCTCCACCTTCAACTTCACCAGCACCAGCACCGCCAGCGCCAGCGCCAGCGCCAGCGCCAGTATACATGTCACCATATGGACACTATCCACCAACACCTTTCATGGGACCCTATGCCTATGCGTATCAATATCCACCAACACCGCCACCACTAGGTCCAGGCATGCCGCCCTATCAGTATCCCCCAGCCACTGCTTATCCATACAACAATCCAGCTATCCCGCCACCAACTAAGGTTAATTCTTCATCTTTCATGAAAGGAGCGTTTCTTGGGAAGCTTATCTATGGAACTGTTGTGGCTGACGCTCTGAATGGAGACCTCCCCTTTCTCTCCTAATTATATAATGCTTCCAATAAAGCTTTGATTTGCTGAAAGAATCTGGTTTGCGTCCTTTTGTGGTGTTATTAAAAGAAATGACATTAGTCATTAGATCTATATATCATATATTGAGTTGTTTGTCACTATGTATTAATCGTTGTATGGGGGTTTATTTACCTTCTTTTTATGGTTATTAATAAAGGTTGTGCTTTGGTATTATATAAATAACGTGAGTTCTTGTTTATTTCTTAATTTGATCAATCTTCATCCTATCTATTTTACTTTATTATTTTTGAATCTAGACCTCATGCATGGGGCTGTAACAAAATTAAAAAAAAAATTAACGGCAAATGTTGGATCGATTTCACCGTTGGTTTTGGTATAATTTCTTTCCATTGTTTTTAATATTAATATGATCGTTTTTGAGTATGTTGCTACGTATTAATATAACAATCACACACTTTCTTTCCAATGTTTGGAACTGGTGAAGGTGGGAAAAATATTTTTATGACTTTCTTCTTAAAAAAAACTTCCTTAGATAAATTAGGTTTCATTGGATTTGAGTTCTGATTGCACCAATATTTGGAATTAGCCGTCTAGTCGGAGGTTTTTTCTTTGAACCAAGAGGTTTTCAATGCGAACTCGGGTTCTCTGCAACAAGGTCAAGAAATTTATGGCTTGTTAGTTAAATTGTATTACACTATTAATACAATAAACTCAAAATATTACGGATTACATTGTCTAGTCCATATTTAGCTCATGTTTGGTTCGAATTAAAATTTCAAGTTAAAGTCAACCACACATTTCATGGGATCCACAACTTTTCAATTCACCAATTTTTATCAAAATCTAATTTTAATTTCTACCAAACAAAAGCTTAATATATAATGTGTAAAATATGCGCACTTCGTATCAATTTATCTAATTTTATGCCAACAAAAAGATGTCAAAATTCATTCAACTCTCCGAAATGGACCTCAAATCACTTTTTATGGTGCCTCAAGTCAAATATTAATTTTAATCATACATCTTATATATAGAACGCAAAACTATTATCCACTTATTTCTATAACATTATAATTTGAGCAACTTATAATTTTATCAATATATCGAGCCATACCAATATTTCGTCTACTTTTTCTTGATAGACATGTTCAGCTCTCGGTTATCTATTGGATTATTTTTCCTGGAAATAAAATATGGTCCAGCTTCAGAACCAATAGCAGAAGTTCGTCCACAACACTTAAAAACAAAAATAGACGTGTGGATGTCTCTACTCAATAGTCCAACTGCCAATATTAAGGTTTGGTCCAAATTAAAAATTGTTTTTTTTTTTTATTATTTTCAAACATGCCAATATCAATATTATATAATAAATGGATCTGGACCGTTATTTAATTACTGTTTTAAAAAAATCTAGTGAATACTTGAATTCATAGGCAACCTCATTAAGAATTAAGTCCTAACTGATATTATATTGTTTAGATTATATTCTTGTTTTCTACATCTTATTGATACTTTCAAGCATCATACTTCTTGATATATTAGTCTTTGCATGTACAATGCAAGGACTAGATTATTTAAAAGCTAATGATAGTACGTTAAATGAGTTGAATTCTTGTAAATTACATTCCCTGGAGCAAGGCAAGTTGAGCCATTGCCTTTGATCTCATATTTTAAGGGGCATCTAACAAAAAGTCCAAAAATAGCTTAACACCCCACCCCTTGGCCCCATGCCTGCTTCGCTTTCTCTCATCTTCTGGATCCTATGTGACGCACAAGAAGAGAAAGAGACCCTTGAGTAATGTTAATGATAATTCCAAGATTAAACTCTGTACAAAATTTGTTTGGATGGGTTGATTTCCGATTCCCATTTGCCGATTTACATTATCATCACATATGATTTTTGGGGTGGCTTGATCTAGTTCCAATCTTCAGGGTAGTACCAATGGAGGGTCGGAGCTCGATCATCTGAAAAGAGAGTACTGCGTGACTCCTCACCTGAAAAATTGTGTTCCTCAATCTTGACAAACTGTGGCTGATAAGCTTTGTGGACATCTCGAATGATATTTGATTTCGGGTCTTTAAACTGGAAAGTGCAAGCCATTGTTGAAGTGGTTCCATTCTGTAAGTCCAAGAATTGATGTTGGCTCACCCTACCAGTAGATGAAGATATAGCAGCAGTAGGGCTATTGTTGTTTTCATTCAAGATAGCTCTTGGATCTGTGCTATCAAAGGATCCATCTTTGAAATCAGTAAAAACTGATGCAGAAATTACCCCATTGGTTCCATTGAGATTTTCTATTCAGATGAGTAGAATTCATTGTGGTTTCAGCTTCGCTTTTTTCATCAGTTTCAGGCACAATTGTCTTTTCCTTCACATGAACTATGCCTTTACTTTTGCCATCTTCATTTAGATTTGATTTCAGCTCCCCAATCTACCACATAATAAATTTCAAACAAGCAGTAACTTTAGTGCAACCGTAACACAATTTTGACACAAGAACCCTTTTATATGGTCAGTGGCGGACCCAGCACCCGGCCAGGGGGGGCGGCCGCCCTTGATGGGATCTGCCGGATGAATTTTTGTGAAGAAGAATAGAAGATGGCGCCGCTGTCGCGCAAGTTCGTCTTCTCCGACTGCTGGTTTCTTATCCCTTTTCTTTTCCTTTTTTTAATGTGTCGGGCCATTTATTCTTGGGCCCAATACTTAATATATAGGGAAAAATTCAGCTTTCAGATTTTATCTTTGGACCTTTTCAAAAATAACAATTCATCTTTCAAATTTCTAAAATCAGAGATTGACCTATACATACAAATATAAATC